TTACAGGCTCTCGTTTAACCCTGACTTGGGTCTCAGTCAGGCGACTGAGGATATCTTTTTCTGAGTGATATAATAGCCGGGGGACCAATTGTACCAGTACACAGAAGTCTCCAGTCTGTCTCAGCACCTGTCCATGTACACAGGGGGTGAGTCCAGAGGAGCAGGCCCACCATCCGTCAAAAGGGGGAATGAGATATTTTGGTCTAGGCCGAAGAACGGTTTTGTTACAAAGGTGTTGGTGGGAGGCCGGGACACTGCCAACACAAGTTCCTTGTCCAGTTACCGACTGCAGGGTCAGTCTAGCTGTCCCTTTTTGTTGCCATCTGCATTGGGTCGGACTGTCTGATTTAGTGAAATTGTCTAGGTAAGCTATTGCCTCATAATAAGGGGGCTTGATATCATAGCATAACCAGCAGGACTGAGTTAGGTCTGGCCTAGATGCATTTAGGGCCTTAAAGGTGTGGACCATCAGTCCCCAAAGGGAGTCTTGGTCCTGGCTACGGTCGACTTTTTTTGTCTGGGTGGTCATTTGAACGGAGGGTAGGAATGTGGAAGTGGAGGTTAGGTTTGGTGTCTGTACGGAGGTATTTATTCCTGGTGGCATAGGCGAGCTTTTCGGGGAGGGGGCTTAGTAGGTCTGAGAGGGGCTATAGGGGCTAGTACCAGATTTGGCCCTATCAGTTGGGGAGGCCCTATGGCGAGCGGCTCCATTTTTAGTTTTATAGTAAAAAGTAACCCATTATCATATCCATTTTCATATAATCGTAACCCCCAACTGCGGCCTGCCTCCCAATTTGTGAACTGTTTGCCTGTGTCTGTAAAGGTAATACGGATGGGGTTACACAGAAACTGGGTACAGCGGCCATAGAGAGGGTTGTGTGCCAACTTTTGTTGGGGAATCCTGTCCACCGAAATAAAATCAGTTGTAATGGGGGGTTTCCAAGTTATGGCCCCCGTTGACTCACAACCCCAATTTTTGCAAAAGAACTGTTCAGCACCCCCACAAGTTACAATTTGACTTCCAGTATGCCCCCCCCCCCGGACAGACGTAGAAGGAGGTATCTTGCAATATTGCCCTGCAAATTACATGGTTGCAACCCGGTTTTCGTGAATTGACGGGGGGGGAGGGTACATCCCTTTTTTTGTTTCTCCACATTCTGGCCTTTCCCCCGACTCTAGGCTCCAGTGTCCGATATCCCAACTGCCAGTGGCCAGCTGACAAAGATCAAATTCTAGGGCAGGCCACCAGGTCAGTGGTGGGCCCACTTTGGATGAGCTGTTAATAATGTCACCCGTGGAGGTACTAATGATCATCCAAGTTAAATTTAGGGGAGCATGTGGGTTTTGTCCTCCTAATATTGGTATTAAAAGTACAGTTACCACGATCATGACCGTTGACGATGCATCTTGAGTTTAAGAGGATTGTCTTGGTCCTTGGACACCTGCCATGTTGGAACAAAGTCTTCTAGGACAGCGTGTGGATCCACGGGGCGGATGTGGGTGTAGTGCACCCACGAGGCAATCCCGTCGACCTTGAGGGCGGTGGGCGTGGTCAGGACTGTGACGTAGGGTCCTTTCCAACCGGGCTCAAGATCCTTCTGTCAATGTCTTCGGACGAAGACCCAGTCTCCTGGTCGATAGCGATGGGGCTCAGGAGGCGGTCCGGTCTGGTACAGGGCTTCTAGTTTAGGCCAGATGTCTTCATGTACACATTGGAGGCTTCTTAAAGAAAGTAGCAACTTTTGGTCATCAAATTCAACAAGCACATTTGACTGAAGGTTGGGAACAATGGGAGGAGGAATTCCAAACATAATCTCAAAGGGAGTTAGTCCCATCTTATAGGGTGAATTGCGTACCCTATAGAGGGCAAAGGGAAGGAGAGTCACCCAGTCACCGCCAGTCTCTAAGGTTAATTTAGTTAAGGTCTCTTTTAATGTTCTATTCATCCTCTCTACCTGTCCTGAACTTTGGGGTCTATATGCACAATGTAATTTCCAATCTGTCCCCAATATCTGTGCTAAGGTTTGACTCACCTTGGAAATGAAGGCGGCTCCATTGTCTGATCCTAACATTACTGGAAAACCATACCTTGGCAGGATGTCTTCTAGCAGTTTCTTGGTCACACTTCGGGCTGTTTCATGTTTGGTAGGAAAAGCTTCTGTCCATCCTGAAAAAGTGTCTACAAAAACTAACAGGTACTTATAACCATACCTTCCAGGTTTTACCTTGGTGAAGTCCAATTCCCAATATGCTCCAGGTCAGTTCCCTCTCAGACTATTGCCTGGGTTGGCTTTATTGTGGGTGGCATTTGTCAGTTGACAGGCTTTGCAAGTGGCAACAATATGTTCAATTTTAGAATTAGCATCACGAATCTTTATTTCAGCATGTCTCAGGAGGTCTTGCATTTTTCGAGTGCCCATATGGGTGGTCCAGTGCATTTTGGAGAGAACTTGTTCTCCCAGCATTTCAGGCAGGATGACTTTGCAATCAGAAGATTTCCACCACCCGTTGAGGCACTGAGGCATAGGTAATTGTTTTATCCAATTTAAATCTTTCTCAGTGTACTGGGGTTTTTCTGGCAGGGCAGCACCTCCTGGATCAGGCAGCTGAGTGGCTA